TATACATCATCTCATAGATATCAGATATATTGGTTTGATGGTTCGATTCAAAATAACCGAATAGTGGCCATTTTTGTGCTAAAAAAATTATTAAAAATCAAGCATTTCTGGAATTCCGGAACTGGATCTCGCTCATTTATAGATTGATTTTGTTCAAACTTGGTAAATACATTGGACATTATGGGTCGCTGATGCACATCATTTTGTTTTTAAGATCAGATTCAAAATGGATGATTGGTGGCCATTTTGTATTAATGAATGCGATTCTAAAGCCATATCTCTGACATATCTCTGACATGCTTTGACTGATGTTCAAATTATTCCTTATTTTTTTAACTTTTGGTATCTATCCTAATGGTACGAGTCAATAATAATAAAAGTATCACAAACATGACATATAGTCAGCTTGAACAACCTTAAAGAGCTACACGTATAAAGAAAATATAATCATTGCCAAATGAAACGGTGACTGGAAGAACAATAACTGACAGTGAGTGGGAGGAATGTGGGTGGAAAGTGATTTGCTTTTTTTTTTTTGCAGCTGTTTCACTCATTCTTGTAATTCATAAACCCCAAGAGGTGAAATATAAACTACTTGCTTACCTTGTGAAATTACCACAGTCATATAAACGCTACCAAGTGAAATATAAAACACTAGCCGGCGATACATCAATCTTTGACAACTAGTCAACATGTCTGAAAAAATAATTGTGTAAACATGCAAATATGAGTCATTTTGTGTGACCCCTTAAAATTAATTTATTTAGTGACTGCTAGAGGTGGGTGGCAAAAAGCTATATATCAGAGCACACTGTTACATAGATGAATAGCTTTGAAGCATAAATAAATTTTTGGGAGACAGTCTTGTGAAGAGTAAACCATTGTTATGTTTATGTGTACAGTACAAACTCTTAGTGTAACATAACATAAAATTTGAGCTTTCTTTCAAAACTGTTATTTAAATTGTGTAATTTCTCTAAACATGTCTCATGTATTAACATAGATAATATCACAAAAAATAATTTTAAATTAATGATGACTACGATACTGTCCTACAAGAACATTGTGGTAGCCAAGTCGAAAAACAAATTATTCCCAAAAATAATGTACACCTCAAATGTCAAAACAATCAAGTTGTTAGTGTTCAACGAAAATTTGAAAATATTATTTTTTACCAAAAATTACAAAAATATTTTCCAAAAATAGAGAATTGATGATATCGGCAGGAAATGAACAAATCTGATAGATTAATTTCACATTTCACAACAGCCAGAACCAAATTACTTTTTTTTTTGTGTTAACCACATTCTGCCTTACGGGTTTGCGTTGGTACGACTTGGCTACCACAATGTTCTTGTAGAACGGCGTAGTTATTTCGACCATCAGGTCGATTGTTTAAACACTAAATTAAAATTTTATTAAGTTTAAGCAGAGGTACATTACTTGGGGTTTGCAACTACGATGACATGATACCAAGATCCTGTTTCAATCTTGCTCTTGCGTATGCGTTCCAACTCAGAAAAATGCGAATGCGCATGCCCGAGGTAACTAGAATACTGAGATGCCCAGGTGGATCAAAATAGCTGCTCACGATATGACGGAATACGATAACTATATTTTCTGTACATTTTCGATGTATTACATTTTTTCACTATGAATGTGGCAATAAATGTTTTATTGATTTTTACAAAGGTCGTAGCATCAGTCTCGCTATCTACGAGATGAGACTTGAATGGGATCTTGACATGATGTCACCATACAGTACTATGCGCATTGCAAACCCCAAGTAATGTACCTCTGGTTTAAGTAAAATTACCTACTACACAGTTAATAATGCTTATA